CATGCAAGGTAGCTGCTGTTTCCACTCTAATAGACACTGACAGGATGGCTTAATCCCATGTTTCTTCTGAGTGGATGCCTGTTAATGTTCTAGTATGATTGAGTAAATGACTTTCTCGACACAACTTTTACTGGTATTTTGCACCTCTGTGTGTAGTGAATGAGTTTACCCGTTGGTAAATGTCAGGGAATCCATATGTAAACTCCTTGACATATAAATGCACAGAAAGCAGGCTTTATTGGTTCTACTGTGCCCAACACTGTTTTGGTGTTGCTTCACCTTTTTTATCTTGAAATCAAAAATTGTAACTACAAGTTATGCAATTTAAGTTAATCAAAAGATGGCTTATATGTTACGTGAAGTTTTATAGCACTGTTTTCTGCCATTTGAACACTGGTTGTTTAGCAGCTTAAGCAATTTTTCGTTTGGATTTAACTTCCTGAATTAGTAATCCTTTGTTTTCCAAAAATGTATTAGGATGATCACCGCCATCTCAACCAGTTCATTGCCCATGCGGCTCTTGACCTAGTAGATGAGAACATGTGGCTTTCTAACAACATGTATCTGAAGACTGTGGACAAGTTTAATGAGTGGTTTGTTTCTGCTTTTGTCACAGCTGGACATATCCTTCCTTCCCTCTTCTCTCTTCCTGTAATTACGTAGCTTTTTGACAGAAAGTGGAAAATTAGATGCAATGGCTTTAGAACAGGTTTCTCTGCTAGTTTCAGCTATTTTTCTTAGAATCACCAACTTCAGGAGGAAGTAAGTTGGTAGGCACAGCTGTTACTGCAGATTGGACCTGATGGCAAAGATCTTTCCTTTTTGGAGGAATTGAAATAGCTTAATGAAATGTGAGGATGACATGAAGTAGAGGAAAGAGGAATGAGAGGGGAATGGTATGAGAAGGGTCTGTGTGAACTTTTCTTTTACTTATATCCATTTGAATAGTTCTGGAGAGAAAAAGCATCGATAAACATGCTTGGTGTAAATCATCCGTATTTTGAAAATACTAGTATCAAACTAGTATCAAAGTTTGATCTT